ATACCAGGCATAGCCTTTCATGGTAAGACAGGAGCTGCTGCTGCTGCTGCTGCTGCTGCTGCCGCTTAGTCAGAGGGCTGTGGTCTGTGTGCAGAAGAGGCAGCGGGCCCAAGTTCAATGCCTGTGGGCGCGTGAGAAACATAGAAGCGCTGTATCTCTGGCTCCCCTCTGAGGATCAGGACGCTGCAGGGACAATTGAGAGACTTCCCTGCATTAGCTGTGTTGACCTGGCGGGAGCAAAGGACAGTGCTGATCTCTGCCACTGCTACCCCAGTATCCACTTTAGGATGAAACCAAACCTCAGTAAGTCTCTTCCAGAGCATTTTGGACACCCCATGATATACTGGCAAACCTACCCGCGGTATCCTTTCAATGTAATTTTTTTTTTTTAATTTTTTTTTTCAACGTTTGTTTATTTTTGGGACAGAGAGAGACAGAGCATGAACGGGGGAGGGGCAGAGAGAGAGGGAGACACAGAATCGGAAACAGGCTCCAGGCTCTGAGCCATCAGCCCAGAGCCTGACGCGGGGCTCGAACTCCCGGACCGCGAGATCGTGACCTGGCTGAAGTCGGACGCTTAACCGACTGCGCCACCCAGGCGCCCCTCAATGTAATTTTAAGGTAATGTGAGCCATCACATTTCCTAGTTCTGATTTACCTTTTCTGCTGCTACCATTATAAGTTTTTTTGGCCTCATCGCCAAGCCTAAATTAGAAGTAGTGGGGGTACATCGCTGTCTGTATATCTTGACCTGCACAGGAAGCACACAGAATATGTCGAGCCACCCCGGGATGCTAGGAACAATATGAGACTGAGCCTCAGCCTGGCTACTGCCGGCAGGCGCTGGGCCTGCCCTCCTGGCTTGTGGTTGACGTGAGGGTGTATGGGAGCCGGTGGTATCTTCCCCAGGCCACTCGTGTGGGCTCTGATCTCCAGGCTCTGATCTGTCCCCTCTTAAGCCACACCTTTGGCTCCTTGCTAATGGAGTCTTCCGAGAAAGAAACATAAATTCCTTGAGAAAGCTAAAGCAGTGACACAATGATTGGCTTAGAAAGTTCAGGTGTCTGAGGTGCCCGGACACAGAATTGCTTTGGTGAGCCCTGAGCCTCGCGTGTGCTTGTAAAGGTAAACGCAGGGGTGAGTGTGCGTGGGTGGGTGCTGACAAGAACCAAGGAGAAAATGACACAGACAACGAAGACTTTTGCATTTGACTTGTCTTTGTATGTTTCTTTTCCTTGGTAAGAAGCATTATTATAGTAGATAAAAAGAGAAAGCACTAGATTGTGTGTTACGGAGCTTCAGCCCTTTGCCGGTAGTTTTTTCCTTCAACAGCCTGGCACTTTCGTCCACCAGCACTGCCACCAGCAAGTAGGGTTTTACTCACTGCAGGGCGCACCGCAGCCCAACCTTCTCTCCCTTGTCCATCTCATCGTTTCTTCTTTGCCCTTAGCATTATGATTTCCCCGGATCACAGCACCTGCCTGGATTGGCATTCTTACCATTTCTGAGAGTTCCTAGCAGAGATTCAGAGAGTATGGCAGGGAGATGGCTAACATGAAACTTCTTTCCCCTCCTCACATCCGCAATCGGCTGTGTATCCGTCCGTGCAGCAGACACACAGCTCCTGCCCTCGAGGGAGGTCACAGTCCTGGATGTGCACAGGAGGAGGAAAGGGCGCAGCACGACCATGGCATAAGTTGTGTGTAAGGAGGCTGGGAGGCGTGGGCACAGTATGCCGAACGAGCTTAGGATGTAGATAGGTAGTGATAGGAAGGGGGAGAATTCTAGGTAAGGGGATCATCACGAGCAAACTTTGAGAAGCAGTAAAGCACAGGAAGTACACGGAAAACAGCTCCATTTTACTGGAACTACACAGAGTGCAGAAAGACTAAGGAGGGAGATGCGGCTGCAGAGGTGGGTCCTGTTTGTGCAAAACACCTTGCATATGTGGGGCTCGGGCTTCCAGACGCAGAGCCGGTCGCTCAGGGATCTTTGAGTGTGAGAAGAGCAACACTGGAGAAGGTCTTTTCTCTCCGGGCTGTTCTTAGATTCCTACCAGAGAGATGCTGGGTGGAGAAAGGGCTCCTTAGAGGGTGACTGACCTGGTCAAGTTCAAGATACTGGATGGCTTTTCTCCCATACAATGTGGCGCCCACAGCGTTGTGTTTCTTTACGTACATTGGCAGTCTTTAAGAGGTACCTCTGAGGTCTGCAAAAATAGCCTTTTAATTGTAATGTAATTTACATTTTATGAAGATTTTAATAAGTTGTTATCATAGGTTTTGCACCTTACGTGAGAGAGATGTCCTATACAAAAGCAGTGGTTGCATTCTGAGAAAGTACTTTTTGAACGGAGGAAAGGGATAGAAATGTTGATACCGTTAGCCTTAAAAGCCAGATTTCTGTTAACTTTGATATACTGCATTCACTATTTGTTATGATGGTAAGTGAACTTGATGAAATGGCTGGTCCCAGAAATCTAAGCTATCAGACTCTCATGTTTGGTCACTAAAGCCATCGCACCCCAATAGCGACTGGCAGTAGGTGTGTAGAAACGAGCTGCTCAGTGCATGTCTGAAGCGTTACTGAATCTTTGGAGGCAGTCACATGAAATAGCAAGTCTGTGGATGAGACTTATATTCAGCCTGAACGGCGACTGGCTTAACTGAGTTTTTAGTTCTGTTCAGAACATTTATGCTGTGACATCTACAACATTAGGCAGTTAACGGTAGAGTGGGAAGCAGAGGCAGAGGTTTTTCTCTGGTTCCATTTTAAGGCCCCTCACAGTATTCACCCGATGGAGCAGCTTTGTAAGTATATGACATTCAAAGGACTCTTATGAAGAAGAGGTTCTAAGACCCAGAGAAATGAAATCTATGTGTTTGGCAATGAATATTTAGCGTTTCCTCTGTGCCTGGCGCTGTGCTGAGCATTGAGTGATAAAAGCTCAGGCACTATCCTTCGTCCCTAGTGTTCACTGCATTCTTACCCCTAATGAGTGGAGAGTTCAATTTTGATTCTGGTGGATAAAAAGCATTTTATGTTTCCATTTTATGCTTCCATGTGGCAGAAGAGGCTGTTCATGAGAGGTAGTTTCTTTAGCAGCCACCAGGTGTCAGCAAAGGACTTGAAACTCTTGACCGCGTCTGCATTCTTGGTTTTCTGAACTCCCCGAGGCCCCCATTGGAACTTTTCAAAGGCAGTAGACCTGCACTGGGCCACCTTCGCCTAAATATTAGTGTCAAATGCTTTCTCCTCAAGATTGCATCACATTTATTCACCTTTCCCTTATAAAACTAGCACTAGTCCCTCGATCTTTTTCTGATTTAAAGCTTCTAATTCGGTCTTTTCGCAGTGATGGTTCTACAGAGTAGAAGGCAATCGTGGTGGGGGTGGGGGAATATCACCCAGCTCTTGCTTTTTCCACTCATCCCTTCCACCAAATAGAAGAGAAACAGTCTGATGGTGGAGCTTGGTGGATCCAGACTGCAGAAGGAGTTTTCAGAGTGTACAGGAGAGAGGCCCAGGCATCTTCACTGGCCCTGCCATCTGGCTCCTCGTGTAGCATGTATTTGGGACAGTGTGTTGATTGACAGGGGAAACCTTGGCATGGTGGGTATTGGTTTGTATCATACGGCTTTGCTCCCGTTTCTCATCTCATCACGCCCCCTCGCTGGGATGGCCAGGCGGGACAGGAAGCAGAGGCATTTGGTATAGGACATTGGGCGATAGGGTGGGACAAAACTGGGGAAGGCTCTCCCTGGACACCCGGGCTTCTCTCAAGCTTCATGCGGTGTCAGAAGAGGTGGCCATTAGAGGGATGTCAGTTTGAATGAGCTGCTAAGCTACTGGGAAACTGAAGGAGAGACCAGCTGGGGAGATAGAGACAGAAAGTCAAGTGCTGGCTTTAGCCACTGATGCTGCTGGGTTGTGTGGCCTGCAGGGGAGGGAGAGTAAGGCATAGCATGTAGCCCCAAGTCCACCCCCTGAAGTAAGGGCCCGATTGATGCAAGGTTCTGCAGTTTAGACATGCTGTGGGGATTTCCTTTGGACCGATCAGCGGGATTTGCCAAATCGCATTACAGCTAATTCCAGGAACTACTCAGATGCTTCTGTTGTTTTGTATTGACTAAAGCACTGTAAATAAGGAAGTGTATCCATAGGGATTCAAAAGTATTTTGAATGTTTTGCTTTTGTAGAGATCTTTGCTATAATAGTGAAAGAAAATCATCTTGCTCCTTACAACATCATGCGAAATGTCCTCAAAATGTACCATATCCAGAGGAACCTGGCTAGCTCAGTCTGTAGAGTGTGTAACTCTTGATCTCAGGGTCATGAGTTCAAGTCCCACATTGGACATGAAGCCTACTTTAAATTAATTAGTTAATTTTTAAAAATCGTACGAAAGCCACACATGCTATTGAAGAGGGTGGCTCGGCACTGGGCAGCGGCTCTCCCGGGGAGGGCTCTCACACCTGCATTGGCATGCAGTTTTAATTCTCTTTAATTTTTTTACAAGTTTATTTACTTATTTTGAGAGAGGACAGGGGAGGGGCAGAGACAGAGGGGGGCAGATGATCCAAAGCAGGCTCCACGTGGACAGCAGAGAGCCAGATGTGGGGCTCGAACTCACGAACCGTGAGATCGTGACCTGAGCCGAGGTTGGACGCTTAACCAGCTGAGCCACCCAGGCGCCCTGCATGCATTTTTTTCAAAACCGTTTTAAAGACAAAGTTTCTTATTATCAGCTTGACTTCCAGTTCATGTGATAACTGCCTGTGGGTTTGTGTAAGGGACAGGTCACATCGTATAAAACAAAAGGGTGTTTACACTGTGATGCCTTTGAGCCACCCGTCTCCCACATTTCTCACTGCTCCGGGGACTCCTGCAGCAAGCGCCACTTGCCCACGGGAACGTGAGTCTTAGCATCCAGGCCACATCGCCGCGTCGATTCCCAGCTTCACAGTTTCACGCTCCCTTCTCCTCCCTGCTCTTTTCAGATCACTGGCGTGATCCTGCTGGCTGTTGGAGTCTGGGGCAAACTCACTCTGGGCACCTACATCTCCCTGATCGCCGAGAACTCCACAAATGCCCCCTATGTGCTCATCGGGACCGGCACCACTATTGTGGTGTTTGGCCTGTTCGGATGCTTTGCGACATGCCGTGGTAGCCCGTGGATGCTGAAGCTGGTGAGTGTGTCACGACATAATACTGCTTTTTCGATTACTTTTTGAAACCACAGAAATCACACGAAAGTGACATGGCCCTTCTTGAAGCCACAGACAAGACCTTCATAGGCGTTGCCTCTAATTTTAGTCCAGACCCTTGTCTAATCCACCGTCTAATGCCCTAGAGGGCAAAACAACCCCAAACACAGCTTGGCACACACATGCAAAAAGCCAGTTCTCGTCCCTCGAAGTGGGTGGTGACAGAGCAGTGGCCAGTGGTTCCACGAAGCCATTTATATCCTCATGGCAAGACGCCTTGGGTTAGTTTTGAAGTGTTTCTCCCAAGTCTCTTCAGGTATGTGACGTGCAGCGTGGGCGGGCAGCACCCCTAACATGAGCAGCCTTTCCTCTCCAAGTTCCCACTGGAGCAATACTTCCTGCCTCCTTGAACTTGTCCGTGCTTGGCTGAGTGGGCCCACTCTTCTCTGAACCTGCACACCCGAGCTCAGTGCTATGGGAGTCGAGCTAAGCCAGAGCTTCCCCGCTCGACAGAGGGTTGGCGCAGGAGCAGATTTTGACTGCCAGCTCAGCGCTGGGCGCCTTTACTATAATAGGACACTCGGCGTGATGTTCCCCAAAGGGCAAGGGGCAGGCTGCTGAAAGGCTGTTACCATGATTCTTAACGTTCTGGTGGACTCATTGCTCAACTGTCTACCCCCTGCCCGTGCTCACTGCCTATGCTAATAAGAGTTCATGTTCAAGGATTTTATAGATAAAAGGTAGCAAGGGCCTCTCCTCAAAAGAACAATTTGTTTGAAGAGATTGATTTCAGATGTCTCATTTTGTGAAAGGGGAGAGTGGAGAGTCTGTCCGCGCCGTGCTGCCCATACTTCCTTGTTTAGCCCTAGATTAGAGGACATTTCATACCCTCTAGTGACAGAGATGGGTGTGATGATGACTCTCTCCAAAGGAACCACCTTCCAAACTGGCACTGATCAGTCCCTCTCTCGACAGCCTCACGGAAGTAGTGTTTGATTCAGCCACTTCTGTCCTGATTCTTCCGGGTTGGTGGAAAAGCCAGAGCGAGGCCACATTGAGGCATTTCTGCTGCTGTCACCTGCTACTCTATGCTGGCCTCCCGAGTCTACCTTCTAGTACTTCTGAGAAGCACTAGGATTTCTTTCTGTCTGGTGTGATAGTCCTCAATTCTGGATGCCTGCTTAAATCACCTGGGCCGCTTTTGAAAGACACCTTCACCAGGGTCCCACCTTCAGCCAACCGAACCAGACTCCACAGCAGCGAGGCCAACCACCACAGTCTCTAAAAGCCATTTAGGAGATTCCATCCTACAGGAAGGTTGAGAGCCTCCCGTTCAGTACAATGAGTAGCAAGGGAGGATTAACTTGAAAGGACCAGAAAAGAAAGATGGCTAGGAATTCACCCGTCCGAACAAGAAGGGAGGAGACCTGGCTTACATCTCTAGTGGCCGAGATGTAACCTCTTTGGGCCTGTCCCCATTTGTGAAAGAACAGCATTGGACTAACTCACCAAGGTTTCTTCCTGAGTGAAGGGAGATAGGAGAGGGGACACAACAATGGAACAGTTCTCTCTGGACTCTGCTGAAGGTGGTTTCAAACCACTCTGCCATGTTCTCCTAACACATGCGAGCTCACTAGCAGGTGAGCCTTTGGAGAGAACTTCTTGAGGTTTTGTTTAGTTTTTAGCTTTGGCCTTTAAAAGCCATCAGTTGGTGTGGGGAGAGCTGGGATGGGAACCCAGGGATGTCTCCTTCCAAAGCCAGGACGATTTCTACTACGGTACTTTCATCTCGAGAAAACTCGCCCCCTACCACCTGTATTTAGTGTGTGCTCTTCACAGTAGGCTTTTGGCCAGGGCCTTCTGAAGGAGAAGCAGCTGTTCTCTGGAAGCTCCTAGAAACCGGGAACTTCCCAGTGACAGGAAACTGCTGATCTGGCTGATAAGAGCGGAAGTCACTTGATTAACTGTCTGTCAGTCTAGAATTTTATGGTCCTCATTTAACCTCATTAACTGCAAAACAACTGAAGATAACTATTTCCACTTTATGGAGGCCCAGATTGGCTGCCTCTTTCCTAAGAGTTAGTCCACAACAAAGCTAGGACGTAAACCTACGAAGACTTCTGACTACAGAGTTGAATGTCCTTTCTCCCACAGTTACTTTCCCACAGGACTTTCTGGTGGATTCTAGGCCTGGTGTGAGACTCTCTCTAGAGTCAAATGTGTTTCTTATTGTATTTTATAGTAAGTTGAGAGACAGATGTCATGTCCATGGGGCGTTCTACTCATAACTGTGTTTGCTATTTTGTTTTATGTTTTTTAAAGTCTATTTATTTATTTTGAGAGAGACAGACAGACAGAGAACCAGCGGAGGAGGGGCGGAGAGAGAAGGGACCGAGGATCAGAAGGGGGTTCTGTGCTGACAGCAGACAGCCCGATGGAGGGCTTGAACTCATGAACCATGAGATCATGACCTGAGCCGAAGTCGGAAGCTCAACTGACTGAGCCACCCAGGCGCCCCTGTGTTTGCTAGTTTAGTGGCCATGCTTTAAGTGTACGTAGAGACTTTTGTTAATATTTGCTACAAAACTGGCATTTTAAGCCAATATTCCCTCCTTTTAACATGTGCCACTAGCTGAGAAAAATAGTTTATGATCTTATGCGCATACGTACTTTATAAGCAAGTAACATGACCATGTACAGTCGATCCAAATTCTAAAGCATCACCTAGGAGCATTCCAAACATTCCATTTTATTTTGAGATGAGAAGAAACAGATTGTAAGACATATGCCTTGTAGGAAAAGAGTCACTTCTCTTTCCTTTTATCTGCTTTTCAAAGTCACAAAAATGGAAACCCTTAATGTCTCATAAGTACCATGTAATTCATCCCTGAACTTAGGCACACGTGTGTGCACACGCACACACACTCAACTTGGAAAGTACGGGAAGCATGAAATGAGTAAGAAGCACTAAGGGTTTCGGATCCTTATGGAGAGTGTTAGTAGTACAGCTTCTTTGCTTTTTAAAGACTATCGACTCCACACACTGTGCAGAACAAGACAGGTACGGAGCCCACCGGCCCCTGCTGTAAGTGCTACATTCAGGCACGATCACCATATCGAGAAAGAACGTTGACCTGTGCGCGTTCTGGTTTTTCTGTCAGGATGGGATTGGTACAGTCACAGAGGAAGGGGTTTGGAAGCCATTTTATTAGCTTTGCTCAAGAAAACTGGAGGGATTTGCCCATCTGAAGAGAAGCAGCAGGTTGGCACCATGGTTGTGTTCCCACATACGAAGGGCGATTGTGGAGGAGCAAGGTTGGGCTGGTGCTTCTAGCTCTTGAAAGCAGTTCTGACACCAGGGAGTAGAAGTTGCAAGGAGGCAGACTGTGGCCAGGAGAAAGAAAGCCTTTCCAGCAATTGGAACGGTGTGAAAACTGAATGGGCTGCAAGGGGCGCATGGGTGGAGGGACTAGGCTGGGCTCACAGATGCTAGAGGAAGGGTGCATGCAGGTGCTGGCTGACCATCATGACCGAGGTGGTCTGAAGGACTCCCGGACGGGGCAGAACGGTGTCCTGCGACCTCCAGAGCACTTTCCCACTCGACGATTCCAGCATCACAAATAGTGCGTACCTGAGTTATAAAAAGCCCTTCCAGATTTCTCCTGGTTGAGCCCAGTCTCCGGATGTGCTCTCCTTAGCATGTGTGGCCCAAAATGCTCGCGCATATTTAAACAGACACGTTTCTATATTGAGGCTCATGTGGGGAAGTCTGGACAAGGGTATTTTTAAGCTTTTCCTAAACTTTGGGGAATATGAGGATTTGTGTGATTCCCTGTGATAAGAAGTTAGCTACCCGGAAGGAACACTCATTTCCATCCTGACGTGTCTGACTCTGTCCCTGTGTGCTTGGTTTTCAGTATGCCATGTTCCTGTCCCTGGTGTTCCTGGCTGAGCTGGTAGCTGGCATTTCAGGGTTTGTGTTTCGTCATGAGGTGAGTACACACGAAGTACAGAACTCACTGAAAGGGGCTTTGGGAGGAGGATTTCTGAAACCTCTCAGAATGTGTAAAGGGCACATATGGGCTAGCTGGCATCTCCGGTGGTATCGCTGTTTTCCAAATGTCACTTAATATGGGCTGAAATGCCAATAAAAATCTAAATGCCGCAGGAATTTTGCCAAACTCAAAACCTTAGTTGTTGATCCTCTATTTCTTGATATAGCTACTGCATGAAATGATTCTCCACCCGGTTTTAAAGCAAGTGACCTTCAAAGTAGATTAAATACTCCTTTTAAAATAGCAACTTCAGCAAGGCCCAAGATTTCTGTGATTGCTTGGTATCCCCCAAACAGCCTGGGCTCCCCTGTCTCCTCCCCAGAGCCCTGGGGGCCACCCCCTGCCAACTGGGAGGGTAGAAACGGAGGCCAGATGCTAGGAGCCTTGTGGAAGGAGAGAAGGCAGTCGTGATCTGAAACCCCTACAGCGCTTTGTTTCTAATTCACATGTCCTATTTTAGACTTCTAAAGCTGGAGAAAAAGGATTTTGAATACTGTTTTGTGATCGTGATGTAGTTTCAAGGACACTGCTGGCTGTCTGGTATCGTGTGTGGCCATTCTCACCCATACTCTCACTGTGGCTGCTCTGTTCAGACCATGGGGAGCTGCTCAGGCAGAGCTAAGACGTCCTCATGCTGTCTGTAGCCACCGTGGTGTTGCCTTTCAGACACGTATAGTGGTGATAGGTCAGGCAGGGTAGGTGCTATGATAAAGGGCTGGTTCTGACAACCCCCTCCCCCCGCCCCGATAGGCTGTTAGCACACCCTGTAAATAACAGTAAAGCCACAAGTAGATACGCGCATGTTAGAAAGGAAAAGAAGCGCAAGACAGAGGTGGAAAAGACAATGAGGCTGTTGAAAGTCTGGCATGATCTGTCCCAGACCCTGGTTCTGTGCTTGACCAAGTTCAGTTCCCAGTCAGCTGGCTTATGCACTTTCTGCCCCTTTCCCCTACTTGCTGTGGTTTTCTCCTTACCAGAGGTGCAATCTCAGGTGTCAAGGCTGACTTCTAGAACCCATCTTGTGCAGGTGCCGTATCTGGAATTAGATTCCCCATTCTTATTCTCAGGTGAGGTGAAACCTGATGAAGTCACGGCCTCGGCAGCCCTAGAGGTACCCCCAGTGGGTGTGCGAACCACAGATGCAGCCAAGCCCTTGCCCCGTTCCCCCCCCCCAATATACTGCCGTGACTGGGCTCCACTAGGGTTGGGGGGGTTCTCTCAGTGGTCCCTGATACCCATTGCCTGGGCCCCCTTATCTACCTCCCCTCGGTGCATCTGAAACACTTAAGGGAGCTGGGGGGAGGGGGATGGGTTGCAATGCCACTCTGACCACCGGCGAGTGGAAGTCTTCAAAACGGCCCGGTTCTATTCTATGTGCACCTGCCCACAATAGACAACGCAGGTGCAGTGACATGAAAGGACACAGCCAGGTATGGCATCCACCATGGCTTAGAAGCTCCATGTGACTAGTGCCCACTGATCTCTTCTTTATCCCATGGGCATACCGTCCAGTATTTCAGCAAGGAACATGCCTAGTCAAGAGAGCCGCCATACTTAGCCCTAAGCTTCCCAGCAGGCAGTTATTGTCATCTGCTGTCCCCCCGACTCCAGAGTCATGTGGGCAATTGGGGGCAGTCTTACCCTAAGTGTGGAGTTGCCTGGTAACACGCCTGAGACTCTACCTTCAGCAGGTTTCCAGGGGAACAGAGCTCGAAAGTTACCCCACAGTCAAATGCGCTCGCAAAGGAGGGGAGGGGTTTTGTTAACTACTTAGTAGTAAGAAAAGTTCATATCTTCTAGCCTCTCTTTTTGGCCCCTATAAGGACAGGTAAGTGAAAGTTGGTTGTGCCCTCCCCCTGTATGTTAGAACAGGGATCTATTTCCCATCACAGCCACAGCAGGCTTCCTGCCCTCCAGTGGCCTGTCCTTTGTTATTCTTCTGAGTAAGGGCGGGAAAAGTTATGGACAGAAGGGTGGGCATCAGTCAATTCGAAGACAGTAAGTAGAAAAAGCCAGGCCTGAGGTTGGCCGCTCACCCTCACAGCCCTCTCAGAAACTGGCCACTTCACTGGGTTCCTCTGGATTGGGGGTGAGGGGAACGTTCTTTCAAATCCCTCAGCGAATTTTCTGAGGTCTTTTGTCTCAGGAAACAGGGCATTCCCTCCCTGGCCTACATTTATTCAGAGATTTTTTCAGAAGAGGTCATCTTGGGGTAGAAGTGGGCATGAACATGAGTCCATTTGGGCGGCAGTGGACCAGAACCGCACTCCCCCTTGTCTTCCATAGATCAAGGACACCTTCCTGAGGACTTACACGGACGCCATGCAGAATTACAATGGCAACGATGAGAGGAGCCGGGCGGTGGATCACGTGCAGCGCAGCGTAAGTCCCAGGGAAGGAGACTGGGCTGGCCACCGCCCGTGATATCAGGCCTTCGTCCTGGGGGGCTGCTGGGGGTGGGGGGCCGTCAGCCTTTGCTCTTGACTCTCGCTCTCCGGTCCTGTGTCCAAGAGTTCACACCCAGCACTGGTCCAGGGGCCAGTTATCCGGGCCATTGGTATCAAGAGGGCCCCCTGCCTGTGGCTTGCCTTTCGTCAGTATGAATTAGGAACACCCCAAGGAAAGCTAGCTTGCCCTGAAAATCTGAAGCCTCGGAAAGGAGGCAGTGGGTGTAGGCAGCCTTGCTGAGCATTCTGGAAGTGGTGTGTATAGGCTGGGTGGAGAGCTCAGATGAGCCATGTTTACCGGCATGGGCGGTGTAGTGGGGTGGGCAGGGGGCCTAGGAGAAGCCGAGGGTCTGGCGGGAGTGGTAAGGCCCTAGGCTGCCTGATGCTTTGCAGAGGAGATGAGGAAAATGGCGGTCTCGTGCCTGGAGGTGCTCAGGGGGCAGGTGCCGGTGCTCAAGCTGATGGCCCATCTGGAGCACCCGGGGAAGTTTTGGGTTTGGGGTGTTTTTTGCGTGTTTTGTTTTGTTACTTCAGAAGCAGTATTTTTTTTTTCTTTTTGGTATTTTGATAAAAATTCAAACTTAACCGAAAAGTTGCTAGAAGAATGTAAGGAACTAGCTACCTTTTACCCAGTCACTAATCCATTTCCACTTTTGCCCCATTTCCTTGAATACTCTTTATGTCTGGGGTTGGCACATCTTTTATGGAAAGGGTCATATGGTAATTAGGCTCTGAGTGTGGTACAGTCTCTGTCACAGCCACGCAGCTCTGGTCTTATGGCACAGAAGCGGCCATATTGTGTAAATGGGCAGGCGTGGCTGTGTCTCAGTGAAACTTGATTTACAAAATCAGGCAGCTGGTGGGCTGTAGTTTACCAACAACAGCTCTCTCTTCCTCTGTGTACATCATTCTCCACCCTAAACCATTACTTACCAGTAGAGATCTTGTAGATCTATAAGGCCTAAAAAGAGCTTTTTAGTTTTGTTAATGTTTATTTTTGCGAGAGCGTGACCACGAGAGGGGGAGGGGCAGAGAGAGAGGGAGACAGAGGATCTGAAGCGGGCTTTGCACTGACAGCGGAGTCCGGACTCATGAGCCGTGAGATCGTGACCTGAGCCGAAGTCGGCCGCTTAACCGACTGAGCCACCCAGGCACCCCTAAAAAGAGATTTTTAAAACCATTTTTGTCTCGGCTTCCCCATCAGTATCCTGATTTAGTTGATCTGTACCTTCACTAGCACCCAACTATTGATTTTGATGCTGATCCAGGCCAGAGAACCTACTGCTTTGCTTTGTGGACTTGGTAAGGAAGCCAACACAAAACGCAATCTAGGATTGACTTCCTTTTTCTCAGTCCAGTTGAGCCTCCCGGTGAATATAATAGTTAATGGAGTCTCAGCTCATCTGTACTCACCAAAGCTGTGCCTGTTCACTCAGGGCCTCGGCCCGTGTTTCTCTTCTAAACGGTGCAGGGTCGTGAGGGATGAGACCGCTATGTCTTTGACCTGCACCCTTTGGCTCTTCCCCTCCCCCGTTAACAGCTGAGCTGCTGTGGCGTGCAGAACTATACCAACTGGAGCACCAGCCCCTACTTCCTGGAGCGCGGCATCCCCCTGAGTTGCTGCATGAACGAAACCGACTGCAATTCCCAGGATCTACACAATCTGACTGTGGCGGCCACCAAAGTTAACCAGAAGGTACACTTCCTGTCAGCCCTGACGGGATCCGTGGTGAATGTTTGGGGGAGGGCTTTTTGTTGTTTCTACAGAACTGTGACAAACGGGTTAGAAATGTAGTCCAGGAGAGAGTGCGGGATCTTTCTGCGCAGCCCTTTATTGCCTGGGAGAGGCACTCGAGGCCGTCCGCTCCTGAAGGAGTGAGCTGTGAGTCAGCAAGAAGCTACCAGGCGTAGTTAGGGAGGTTTAGCTACGGTTCCTGTTCACCCTGGTGCGGATGTCAGACAGGGAATGTTGCCTTTCTTCTTTCTGGCTGTCTTTCTTCTGCTTAATCTACCTTCTAAACATGGAATTATTCACAGCTGGGTGCCAGTCCTTAGCAGGAAGGGGGACTAGAGTTGACAGACAACATCTGCTCCTGCCAGGAGGGTGGCCTTTATTTTAGGGCGTTCTCGGCTCTAGGAAAAGAAATCAGCAACTCCGCTTCAACTCACTGTCAGAATCCTGACTCCCAAAGAAATCAGAGAGAGGGAGAGGGAGAGAGAGAGAGAGAGGAAAAGACAGGCTAAAAGAAATCTGCAAGGTAGCATGTACTAAAAATGAAGGAAATAAAATTTCAGTAGTCAGAGAAAAAAGGAAGACCAATTCTGTATCCCACTTCACAGAGAATATGATGAAGGCATGATAAAACTGTGTGAAGGGGGTCTGTGTTCTTAAATGTTTAGAGAAATTCCAGATAAAAAATATGTTTTGGTAAAACAGAAGGGAGGGGAAAAAAACGCCCTATTGTTGACTTTACCTGCTGTTCCGCAGCCATCGGGTAAATTATCTTTTCTTACTAAGATAAAATTCTGTTCTTGCAAGGTCTTCAAAACTTGATGTGATCTGGGCCAACTACTGAATAATTCATAGAAGATAGCCATGTTCTCAAGATTAGAATGTTAAGAAATGGTTTCTATATTTTACCCATTTAATGTTGGTATTTGTAGCATAAATGCTACAGAGCATTGTTGCCATTCTAGAAGCTCATTCTGTCATTCTGGGCTTATCGCTTGCTACTGGTGTCGTGAGGTTAAGATGTTCAGTACTGACTGCTTCCACTTCCTGTCTTAGCTCAGAGGACATCTGCTCCTACTGGAATTTTCTTATGAATCCAAAGCGTGAGGCTTCCTTTGCCTCTCATCAGTAAGGTGACTTCTGGTTTCCTTGTGGACATCCCCACTGAGCCCCCATAGATGTTGTTATGCTGCCATTTTACGAAGCGCCGAGCATACCCAGCTGCAGTGGACGCTCCAATTTATAAAAGATAAGAAATGCTTTTGGCTGTGAGACGTTGGCATGGCAAAGTGTCAGGAGGTCGTTTGTTGAAGCAGGCAGCCATCAACCTGGATAAAGTCTTCCATTACAGCGAAATTTCCTTTGTGAAAGGTGGAGATCTACAAGTCGGGAAGGAGCATGGGCTCTGGAGTCAGACTCCAGTTTAAATTCTGGCTCAGCCACTTGCTGGTTGTGCAGCCCTGATCGAGTGACTTACCCTTTCTCCGTCTTCTTTTTCGCATCAGTAAAAGGGAGATAATCATCCCCCCCACCTAGGATTGATACGAGGATTGAGTGACATAAAGTATCTAAAGCACAGTGCCTAGCCCAGAGTATAGACAAGAGAAGCGTGAACTGCGATGTTAAATGTTAACTGTGACGTAAACATCACCCTGATGATGGTGAGGTCTGTCTTCTACTACACCACACCGTGTCCTTTATTAGGAAAGATACCGCAGGGCCCCGGCTGGAGGGTCTTTTGTTACTATTCAAAAGCCAGTTGAGAGCCGTAGCCTATAGTGCATCTCTGTGATCCTTAGAAAGAAAGATAGGGTAACATTTTTTCCATTTCATTGATAACCTACAAATTGACCTCACTCCCTGCCTCCCCACCCCACCTCCTGCCCCCATCCTGCTTTACGTTTTCTTGGCCACCTCAAATACCTGGAAAAGGTGCTTAATTCCTCCGACCTGGCTTTCTCCGTGGAGAAAAAGTGAGTGAAAACTGAAATTTGTCTACTAAGTCTGATTAGATATTCCCATTCAATGCCCACACGAACCACTGAGATAAGTTCTTGGGTCTGAGGCTCAGATACCCCACCTGTAAGAGGCAGGAGATGGGGACGTCGTGAAGATACTAATAGTAGATACTTATAAGTGTTAGCCACCCCCCAGCTCCCTCCCCCGGGAGGCTTAACTACTGCCACATTGTAGTTCTATGGAATCCTGTTGTCTAGATTAAATATATTCTAAATCCCTGTAGATCTTTTGGTGTCTTGAACCCTATGCTTTAATAGCACAGAAGGATGACTCTTGGCTCTTTCCTGGCAGCCTGAGAAACCTACCTTGTACAAATAATGGGCAGAGAGCAGGGGGGAGGTGAGAACAGTTAAACAGGATGTTTATTGTTTTGTGTGAGGGATGGACTTTATTTTGGTTTTGTTAGCAGGATGTTGAGATAGCTGCAGGTTCACATGGCTAAACAGCATTGACTGAGCCCCTACTCCATAGGAATTCTTGACCTTTTTTAAGAACAAGAGGAAGTGAGATGGTTATTCTGGTTGGCCGCTACTGATACACCTCTTCCCAGAACCTGCCTGGGACGAGCTGTCTACTCCTCATATCAAACATCTGCCACTGACAGCTGTTTCCCACTGGCGACTGTGTTGGTTTCGACATGCTGAGAGGGCAAGCAAATGACCTATTCTGTTTCTGGATGTTTCCTAGGACACTTAGCAGGTCTCTGTAGATTTATCTCACACCTGGACCACCAGGCTTTCATTTTAGGAAATTAAAAGGGATTGTTGTGGGCAGGTAAGATCACGGTGTAGTGGGGACCATGGCGTGGGATACAAACACGGCCTGTGTTCTAATACCACAGCAGTCCTTGTGGTCTGCAGGTCTGTGCTGAGATCTGGAGGATGGGCCTGTGGGTCCACGTGGTGAGTAACGGAGATGAGTCTAGAGATGGAAAGCATTTATTTCCGCCTTGCCCTTCCTTACACTGTGGAGACAACAACAAAAAAAGCGAAATCAGTTCCATCCTTCTCATTTTAAGTAACCCTCCCTCTGATAGGCTTCATTAATTTGCTTTCTTCTGTGGAGTGAAAAACCATGTGAGAACTTTTCTTCTAGAATAGTACTCCTCAAGCTTTAAAGGGCATATGAAACATCTGGAGACATTGGTCACATTCATTAAAATTCATTAAAAATGAATAACCTGGGGATTTGGCAGATTCTGGAGTCTGGAGCGAGACCTCAGATTCTGCATTTCTAGCAAACTCTCAGGTGATGGTTGCTGTTGCTGCCCCTGGAAGACCCCTACTTTGAGAAGCAAGGTTTGGAGAGAACGATTTTGTCACAATTGCCCTAATGGCGGGAACCTCATTTTTTTGGTTTCACTTGCTGATGTGGCGTGGGCTTATCAAAAATGTGATTGATTGTGGAATCTCCTACAACAGAATAGAAATCATGCATTAGCAAAATGCAGAATCCAAGTTCATAGGAAAAATATCTATGCCAAAATATATTGCAGAGTAAGAAACTCACCCACCTTGCTTCTCTCTGGTTTGTATGGTTGGGTTTGTGTTTTCATGTTTTGAGCTGACCTAACACTGGTGTTGGACTGAACTTCATTCCTCCACCCGACTGTCACTGGCCTGGAGAAGATACGGTCATGACGGCCACCTCAGCAAAGCTCTGTCTTAGTTGCTACCATTTGGCAAAGTGTTCAAATATCCATCTCTCTTCTTTTCTCGCCTTGAATTCTTCCTAACCCAACCTGTTCTCCCTTCCACCACCTTTTGAAAAGTAGTTTGGTTTTATACTTTCACTAGTAAAAATGAAATCAGCAAGCAATCTTCTACAATAAAGAGAGAATCAATTTGCAGAACTCCTCATAAGCAGTCATATATCTCCTTTCCCACCCGCCCCCAGCCTTCAAATTTGCGTCAGCTAACCAAGAAGTGTAGTTTTCCCATTGCATCGAAAACGTGTCAAGGGCACCGGGGTGGCTCAGTCAGTTAAGAATCCGACTTCAGCTCAGGTCATGATCTTACGGTTCGTAGGTTCGAGCCCCGCGTCGGGCTCTGTGCTGTCAATACAGCTCTTGTCCCCCTCTCTCTTCCCCTGGCTGGCTGGCTGGCTCTCTCTCTCTCTAAAAAATAAATACACATAAAAAAAGGAAACATGTTAAAGCACTGCTGCTACGTTAATGTACTTCTCTGCAGACAGACTAAGGCTACATAAAATATCACTCAGAAGGTACAGCATTGGTGGAATTTTCGTAAGTTACAAGAACTATTACAGTGTTAAATTTTGAGTTTAAATATGGGAGATGTGTTTTTTTTGTTGTTGTTGTTCTTCAGATATTATTACAATTTAGTGTGTCTTTCTTGATAAGCAAGAATCCTTTTTGCCCCCTTTTGAAATCAAGGTCTTGATTTTTGCAGACTTTAGACATTTAAGTAGAAGCCCTCTCTCAGAAAACTGGAAAAAGACCATGTCTTCTGAGTCTGTTATGTCAGTTCAGAAATCTAGGTTGATGTGGTCCAGTTTCAAATAAATATACACACACGCATGCATGCACACGGGCACACGCACACACAGAGTTCAACCTGTTGGGTACTTAACAGGAAGAGTCCACTTTTGCCTTTGCATTATGGGCGATACACAAACTGTGGTGCTTGCCACCTAGACTAGGTTGATAAAATGTAATCCTGAAAAACAACAGTGAAAAAACTTGTTCAGCAACATTGTTGAACTCCAGCCAGATCGTTTATTTTAAAGAAAGGTGATTCACATTATCAGTATCAAACTACCATTGAAATTGGTAAAACTTGTGTTGGTTTGAATCACGTTTGAAGATTTCATAGTACGTTATGGGGAAATTCACTTCATTTTATGGATAAAGTCAACTGACTCCAGAAATGGGAAGTGACTTGTCCAAGGTCACATAGTAAATTTGTGGAAAAGAGGACTTTCAGACATAGGTTTTTCCCTGTTTTAAAAAAATAAAATAATGATCTCCTTAGGAAAAACCCCAAAACACCATAAAGGTGGCAGGCATTCAAACACCTTCTCTAACCAGATGATTTCACTTTATTTTTCTGAGATGTTGTCATTTGTTGTGAAAATGCTAGTAACTATGTTTGTGATGCTGAGTCTTTCCGTGCAAGGATGTGGAATGCCTTTGTATCCTTCGAGTCTGCTTCCCTACCTCTACAGCATTTGCCTCATAGATCTTACAGATTTCCTGCTATATTTAATCCTACTACGGAAACATTTCTGGCTGAAAGAATATATCTGGGACTGGCTTTAAAATAATCCAGCCAGGGGAGGAGAGGTGAGGAGCTCTAAATGAAACAAGATTGGCCACACGTTAATTGCGAGGTTAGAGAAGGAGTTACTTCGGGGTTCACTGTACTACTCTCTGTGCCTTTCTGTATGTTTGGAATTTTTCTGATTTTTTTTTAAGTTTGAAAAGAATGCTAATGAGAGTTCCTAGGGTGAGTTGCAGTTGTACTTGCTGACTGCGGGGTCAGAATGTTTGCTGGGACTGTCGCAAGTTAACACAGCCCAGTCTGGCCTGGGTAAAACACATCTCTGAGGCCACCACGCTCTCTCTCTCTCTCTCTCTCTCTCTCTCTCTGTCTCTCTCTCTCTCTCTGTCTCTCTGTTTGCAGGGTTGTTACGATCTGGTGACCAGTTTCATGGAGACAAACATGGGGATCATCGCTGGAGTGGCTTTTGGAATCGCGTTCTCCCAGGTAGCCTGCGTCATTGTGCGGTCAGGCCTGTCCTTCCCCAGCCTCCTGCCCTGGCCTCCCTCCCTGGTCTCCGGATTCCCCTCCTGCCTCCCTGTTCCTTGGGGAAGGCTGATAGATGGGGTCAGAGCTCCTTGCTCATTAGTCCTCAGGTCATCTGTTTATTGATTTTCCTTTTTCAACTTAAATGAAGTTTTGCCATCAAGGGAATATCGGTTACAGTTCAACTAATGACTAGCTCCAGAAAACAACTTGCTTCTTCTGTAGGTCAAATGGAGGTTAACTGAACAAAGTGCTGGCTTAATTGGAGCATAAACAACTCCAAGCATCAAATGGCTGATCTGGATTTGGGGGAGGCTTTTTTTTCCTGGTTGACCTGTCCCGGTTTTGTTCTTAGTTCCTGTCGATTATGCACGAGACGTCTCCTTTTCCAGAAAGTCTACATTTAGCAAACTTCATCTTTGTGATCATTGTTTTACTCCTAAGGACTATTGGTTCTTAGAGGAAACTGAATTTTTGTATATTAAATTTTATATCCCTATATCCCCACCCAGTGTCTATAAAATAGTTGGGGAACTAATTCTGCACATGAAGTGAACAACACATACTCAAGGATGGAACAAGATTAAACTAAATCTAAAAATCTAAATCTAAAAAATTTGGCCCTCCTCCACAGGCCTCTGATCTCGCAGCCAATGATACATTGTTGCTATGATATTGCCATGGGTAGAAGGATTGGCATGTATACTCAACAACCAAATGAAAACTTTATGTATGTTTAACTCGGAATTTTTTCAGACCAACAGATCGTTTTTCTAACAAAGCCTAATTAATGTTCTCTCTCTCAGTCCTGTCTCCACCACTCTAATTTCCCCTGCCCGAATTCAATATTGGCTCTCTCAGACTATGCTTCCCTCTTCCCGACGCCCCCATACCTCCTTCCTTCCTGCCTCGTAATGCAAATGTACTTTTTTTAGCCAAGTTTGTCCTTAAGACTTTTTTTTTAATTTATTTATTTTGAGAGAGATGGCAAGAGTGGGGAAGGGGCAGAGAGAGAGACAGAGAATCCCAAGCAGGCTCCGTGCTGTCAGCACAGAGCCCCACACCGGGCTCGATCTTACAAACTGTGAGATCGTGACCTGAGCCAAAATCAAGAGACGCTCAACCAACTGAAGCATCCAGGCACCCCCATCCTTAAAACTTTGTAATTGAAATATGGCACATATAGAAAAATGCATTAATTATAGATGTGCAACTTAATAAATTAGCACAAAATGAACACACCTTTATGTTACACCTGTGTAACCTTCACTTAGATCAAAGACTAGAACATTGCCCTAGTAGTTTTTGCAAAGAGAGGGTTTAGGCTCAGGTGTGTCGAAAAGCTTTTCTTCCTCAGTGGTTACAAAATCCCGTGTGACATTTTATGTCACAAGAGCACGTGGAATCATCCAACAGGAGTGTGTGCTCCTTCCAGCAGTTTTAAAATTCTTTTACCACACTTCGTTTTTTGTAGCTCAGGAAATGAATTAAACCCTCAACACACCAACACACAGACACAGAATGACACCACAAACAGTGCCAATGCGTCTCCAAAGACGTTTCGCAGAAAGTTGCTGCCCCGCCCTTTCTTCCGATTGCTATCATACTTGAGTAGTAACACTTCAGTGACATATCTGTAATGGCCAGGGGACATTGTAGAGGCTCCAGGACGTCATGTCCGATATAGATGTGCAAGGTGCACTTGAGAGCTTGTACGTCCAGTTTACCACATGTATATGTGGTGTCAGGTTAACGCCTCCGACAGGCCAGGCTTGTGCTTGGTGACTGAGGACAGCTGTCCCGTTGGAAGAAGGGATATAGGTCTCCCCTAATGGCTATCCTAGAACCGTAAAGGAACATGATGTCAATATTCTACATGGGGAGAAGAGAGCATCACAGAGCCTGGAATCTCATGGATAAAACCTATCATCCAAGAATATTACTGCATAGCCATGAGGGGGCACAGGGGATTCTCCTATTTTCATTAGTGAGGTGAACCAAGTCATGAAAGATCTGATTAAGACCTCGCTTCTACTTCTCTCTCATGCTTCCCTGTGGAGGGGTGTGTGGGGATTTATGCTTTAGACCAATTGCCTGATGAGCATTAAGCTGTCTGCACTAACCTTGAAGAAATCCCCAACGTGGGGATGGTCGAGTTTGTTCTGTGGCCCTCTAGGGCAGTGAGAGAGGGGCCAAAGCCCCTCAAGGAACCCCCAAACAAACTCTCTGCAGGGATTCTAGGTCTCATCAAGGTCCCACATATTGGTTGGGATGAGAAAACAAAATACAAGGCCCGGTGGCCTTGCATAGCTAATACCATCCACCTACATGACCAGACAGGTGCAGTGGTACAAGACTTGGGACCTGCCATGCTCAACTTGGGGCAGGGAGAAGAAGAGCCATCGCTGGCTTTCACTAGCCTGATGTGCTAGCAGCTGCAGTTTTTAATGGTGCCAGCAGCCTCGGGGCTCCTGGAAGCTGGAATTGGCTTCCAGGTACCAGTAGATCCATCCATGGCCTCTCTGGAACAGTGGTGGCCACTTACTAGATGCCTATTCAGGTAGAACCAGCAATACTGACTCTAGTCAACAACCCAGAACGGAAGCTTTAGCCACAAGTGTTCAAAATTTTGAAGATCAACGCCAGAGTAAAACTCAGCAAATGTTGGCTTGTTTAGATGAATCAGTCATGTCAGCCTATGTCTTGGCCCTCCTATACTAATGGAAGTTCTACTGAGTAGAGGCCAAAGTAGGTAGGAAAGAACAGAGCATGCTCTCATGTGCTTGCTGGCTCTCTCTTTCTCTCTCTCTGTCTTCCCCTTTCCTCACCTGCCCTCTACCTGCTCCTTGCCCTTTTCCTCACCTGCTCTTGCGACATCCATCATTCTCATCTGTCGGGACAAACTGGCCTTACCCATCTGTTGTGTCAGAAATTAAAGGTGGTATAAAGTACAAGGAAAACTAAGCCAAGTCTAGCCTTTTAATACACTGTGCAAACTTTGTCCCATTAGCCACGTTAGCTAACTTAAAGCCCTTGAGTTCTGTTTGTGGACAGCAGGAATTGGGCAGGCATTTGAGGCTTCTCTCCACAAACTTCCATTGCCTGAGCCCTCTCAAGGGAAAGCCCGCTTGTCTGGACTGGACGGGCAGGTCCCACTGCCCTAGAAATTTGTAGCAGGAGGTTGGAGTGTTTTGAGAGGGTATCTCCTCCCTGCATCTTTGAAAGCTTCTCTTTTACTCAAGAGAGCTTGGAGAGACACACACTCAAGCAGAATGTATGTGCATATTTGTGCACGAGAGAGGAGAGAGACAAGGAGGGAGAGATAGAGCGAGAGAGAAACGGAGGGAACAAAACTGGGAATATCACCTCCCCTGCTCCTAACATGGCCTGGAAGCCAAAGGTGAGGGTGTCTGGGTCTGGACACTGACTCCATTTGTGACGCCCCTTCCCACCTTGGTTGGCTTTCTGCTGTGTGTTGCAGGGGAGAAGTGGTAACTCTTCTGCATCCAATGTAAATAGACACAGGGCTTCACTAGGCTGGATTAATTCTCCACATCACAAGATGTTACAGTCCTGAGTGGGGTCGGTAGAGGCGTTTTCCAGAAGTGGGGAGACTTGAATGGCTTGCTTGAGATGAGGCTGCTCTTCTAGATCCAGGATTATAATTCTGACTTCTCTAGCTGGCCTGCTATGTCAAACCTTCGGGCCAAAGATCCCTCTTGTTCTTGCCTCAGGTGTGGCACCTAAGGGAAACTCATTGTGTGCTTTCATAATGCAAGGGTTTGAGTCTGTGGGATTGAAAGCAAGAAGGTACTCATCACAAAATACAGATCCTCCTCCTACCCATCCATGCTCTGACCCTCACCCCTGCAGAGCTTCCCCCAGGGCCCATAGGCTGCTGGGATGATTCATTATGAACCAGGATTTCTTTTCTGGGACCTGTTGACCTCTCCCATGTAGAGGGCAAGACAAAGCTGTTGATAGCCTGGATGACACATGGCCAAAGAAAGTTAATGGAGCTATTTACTTACTCCTCTTTCAGGGCCTGAGATGGTCCCAGATAGCATTTGTACAGTTTTATGTCAAACCAGATTCCTTGGCACTTTCCCAAAGACTTGGAAGTTCTATTTAGTTTCCCACTGAAGTCATTAGCGTAAAATCTCCACAGGCATTATAAAGATCTAAGTTTTTGATCTATTGCTTGTCACTTTCTTATTAAGAAACTTTCTTATTAAGAAAGTTGCCTTGGGCACCTGGGTGGCTCAATTGCTTCAGTGTCCGACTTCGGCTCAGGCCACCATCTCACAGTTCGTGGGTTTGGGCCCAGCATCAAGCTCTGTGCTGACAGCTCGGACCCTGGAGCCTGCTTCAGATTCTGTGTCTCCCTCTCTCTCTGCCCCTCCCCTGCTCACACTCTGTCTCTCCCTCTCTCTCAAAAATAAACATTAAAAAAAAAGTTGCCTTTACAACTTTGCCATCCTCCCTCCGCCCCTCAGCTATCAGGTCTTGGGCCACATTTGGTTCCCATGGTGATGGCAGGGAGGACGCCCTTGGCCTATCTCCTCTTACATCGCTTGCCTTTGCTGACATGGGCAACCCACCCCCCAGCCCCTCTCTCCCACCTCTAGGAATGTGCCCTGTTGCTGTGATTTGCAGAGCCCCAGTGATGCAATCCACGTCCCTAGAGCTTTGCGGCACCCAGGCCGCTCAGCCATCTATGTGAGAGCGCCTTGAGAAAGCCTGGAGTCACCCTTTTGTTAAGTAGAGGGCCTTTCTTCTCTCTCCCCCCTCTCTAGTTTCTCAGTTCTTGAAGCAGCAGAACCTCCCAGAGGTTTTCATGACCCAAAAGAAAGTAGAATATAGTACCGACAAGGCAGAGAGTGGGAAAAATAAAAGGTTACCTCCAAAAATTAGACAGAGACTAAAACTCCATAGGCTGTATGATATTAGGCATTTCACCAGCCACAAGAATGGCGAGTGGTGGTTCTGGGGTCTCCGTCCTGAGGGGTTTCCAGCATAAGAGACCAGGTCTTCTTTTCTGCCTCCGTCTGGGGTTTAAAGCAGGAGTCTGTCCAAATGCCTACGTACTGTATCCTTAATACATATGAGCAGTGTGGTCCTCAAAGGCAGCCCGGAACCCCACAGAACATACCTCTGCTCTTTGAGGTGCTTTTTACATATATCTAACCTGAGAAAAAGTATCATCTAAATAAGGATGGACTTCTCCGTCTAGTGGCAAGCAAGCATTTGTCCTCCCCCTGAGTCTTCCATGACTTTGGCTGAACAGGCTTTCTGTTATGTACCCCCCAAATCATTTGGTAATAGCTGCTATTAAGTATAGGATGCTTCCCCCCAAACCCTGACTTTCCCTTGATTGGTACTTATGGAGGTGAGAGATCAAAGTTTCTTGCAAATATGATTAAAAATGCAGTAGCAAATTTAAAATCAGTAACTCCAGGGGTGCCTGGTGGCTCAGTCAGTTAAGCGTCTGACTTTGGCTCAGGTCATGATCTCACAGTTCTTGAATTCAAGCCCCATACTGGGCTCTGTGCTGACAGCTCAGGGCCTGGGCCTGGAGCCTGATTCGGATTCTGTGTCTCCCTCTCTTTCTGCCTCTTCTCTACTTGTGTGCTCTTTCTCTCTCTCTCTCTCTCTCTCTCTCTCTGTGTGTGTGTGTGTCTCTGTCTCTCATAAATAATAAATGAATTAACTTAAAAATAATAATTTTTAGAATCTTTCTTTTTCCATGGGCAAACAGGAAGGTGTGTTTGTGCCCCAGAAATATACACTAAAGTAAGTTTAAAAGCAAGTAGCTTTTATTTGTGCCAATATTTTTAAAAGTTACTGTTTGTGTGAGAAGGTATGTCCAGTGCTTAAGAATGATGCTGTTCCCGTTCTGGAAAAAAAAAAAAGTGGAGGCACATGCTCTATTTCCTTGAAATCAGAGATTTTGGATACAAGCAATACTTAAACACTCTAAAGAGATTTTGGGCTGTATGGCTCATGAATTGCCACAGAGGTCAGGAGCGTCGGAAAGTACTGAATTCTAGCAGCGTTGCAAACCATGAAGCATAATGGTAACTATCGTGTTTCAAGCACACATGAGCTCAACGAGAAAACACGAAACTGATAAGCTTCACAAAGAAGGAAGAGTTTAGGAACTCGAAATCAAATGAGGAGATGCCCACTGAAAGCCCTCTCCCTCTGAAGTTTGCAAAATGAAGCAGAAAAGAACCCCCAGTAATGTGAGATGGAGGAGGTATTCTGGAAAGGACAGGGTCTAGGCCGAGCTGTAGGGGTGGGGGACAAGGAAAGGGGCTGTCCTCCTCCAGGAGAACAGGTGGAGCTCAATGTGAGTTACCAGTGTGGTTTGGGGGAAGATTCTTTCTCCTCCCCTGAGCCCGTTGTTTTATCTGGAATGTTGGGATGGTAACATTGTACAGGGAGGTGGGAAGGGTTAGAGAGCTGGATATACTCAAATATGCTATTCCTCTAATGCTCACATGTTTTTTTGGCGGAAATCTGGGTTTTAAACATTCCCACTATGTTCTGGTATGGCAGTGGTCCTGGAAAATGGCAGTTCTAATGAAAAGGGACGAGCTACGAGGTTCAAAGTCCTTACAATCATTGCGGGGGGGAGGGTGTTTAATGTGTCACTTGCCATAGAATTCTCGAGGTTACAGCCATGGTTCCTTTGGTGGTTTGGTGCCATGTGCACAGGACTGTGTATCTTGTGGCACAAAATGAGGTTGGCCAGAGCCTTGGTAGGAGGGAGGGCGAGCCCAATAAGGTGGTGGTTTTTCCTTACCTGACAGAGGCTATAGTTTTTATATTTCACAGCATGGTTTTACTTTTGAAAGGGAAGATAAGAATCTAAGATTTCAGCAAGAGAGGTAGCCAGATGGACGGGAACCTGAACGGGTGGGTGGAAAGCCAACAGAACAGAGGTCAACACTGGGACCTGGTGTGGGCTGCATGTGTTCCGCCTGTAAGATAAGGGCAACTACCTGGACTGCGCTGAGTGCTTCTCTCACCCAGAAGCCTTGTTTAAACACAAACTCTTTATCTTTTAAGTTTATTGATTCTGAGAGGGAGGGGTAGAGAGCGAATCCCAAGCAGGCTCCTCACTGACAGCACGGAATTCGATGCGGGGCTCAAACCCATGAACCGGGAGATCATGACCTGAGCCGAAACCAAGAGTCGGAGACACTTAACCAACTGAGCCAGCCAGGGGCCCCTTAAACACCACTTCTGGGCCCCACGCCTCAGAGTGTGGTCCCACAAGTCTGAGGTGAGGCCCTGAGAATTTGCATTTCTAACAAGGTTCCGCAGCATGCTGATGCTGCTGTCCTGGGGCCACACTTGGAGTGACACTGCGCCAGATTATCTGTAAAGGTCATTCCCACCTTTGATCCAGTAAAAAAAAAAAAAAAAAAAAAAAAAA